AGAAAAAAAAAAAAAAAAAAAAAAAAAAAAAAAAAAAAAAAAAAAAGCCCCCAGAAGACGGCCGGCGTTCTAGCTGGCACCAACATTTTGTTGGTATTGTAATGGTACGAACTTTTGCATTACCATATGTTATGGTTGGTAAACGGTAATTATCGAAAACTTCGGTATTCCTACTAATATCACTCATGCAATTGATGTTCCTGAGATTATTTAAAATTAGTTTTGCAAATAGTATTTTAAGAACCAAATGAAGGATCAATAACCAATCGTAGGCCTATATTTATCGATAAAATGTACGTTAGAAAAAATTTAGCTTAATTTCACTTTACACCCTTGAAATCGCATTTTGCGCATTTAACTGGGTCAATATTCATGTATTATACCTCCTTAAAGAACCTAAATCTTATTGTTCTTTTATTAAGTGCAAAAATAAAATAAAAAATACAATAATAATAATAATAATAACAATAATAATAATAATTACTATATTACTATCATTTAGGGCTTGAAATTGGGCTTTTATGTACAATGGCGAGCCCATTATTGAAAAATACCCAATTTACAATTCAAAAGTGAATACTATAAATACACACAGCCCAGCAAATTAGGGTTTCCGCCCTAAAGCCTTCGACGAGCAGCAGTCAGTGAAGGTACTCATCCCTTTCTCCTTGCACTCACTCGAACGAATTTATCGCTGTTACTGCATTTTGATTCGTTCAAGCATTACATTTTTATGTAGAATTTTGATATCAGTCTATTTGATTGTGTTTCTGACAATGTAATGAAAGCCTTTTTTTTTTTTTTTTTTTTTTGTAAGATTGTTTCAGCAGTAATGCATTTCTGCAGTAATCCATGTCCGTTTAGTTTTTTTTTTTTTTTTTTTTTTTTTTTTTTTTAATTTTCAATGATTAGTAAAAAATTTAATCCGTTTCCATGAAAAAGATGCCGCCTTTTTTTTTAAATTTCGAACTGTTTGTGTTGAGATCGTCAAAGTTGTTTGAGCTAAATGAATTTTGTCATGTTCGTATTATGTATTTGCGGAAAATGATTATTAGCTGAACCTATTTCCTTCCCAATTTATTTTATTAATTGTTGATGAATTATTAATTATGTTGCAGATTAACGGAGGTGGAAAATGTCGCACAGGAAGTTTGAGCACCCAAGGCACGGTTCTCTTGGTTTCCTCCCGAGGAAGAGGGCTGCCCGCCACAGGGGAAAGGGTACAATCTTATTGCATTTTACTCTAAATTGATCCAAAAAAAAATGTCATTTAATTTTAATACTGCTTCTCAATATGAGTCTAGAAGTGTGTATGATGATAAAAGTTTGAGCTATCACAAAGACGCCATTATGATTTCTTAGTCTGTTGTTTTTCATCAAATTTAGAGGCTATCAGTTTATAGATTGATAGTTGTTAGTTGTTACAAATGCTGCTTGGGAAATGTACTTGCACATTAGTCCTAAAATCAAGAGAAAATTAGTACGAGTTGGCATTGTTAATTCAATCTATTTAAAGCCTTTTGGATAACATCTACTTACTTGCTGATTATACTGTAGAACATATGATTTATTTCTTGTCGCCTTTTTTCCATTCAATTTTAAGTAGTTTCTTACTGTGCTTAAGTGTTTTATATTGAATAATGCAGTGAAAGCTTTCCCTAAGGATGACCCCACCAAGCCATGCAAGCTAACAGCCTTCTTGGGTTACAAGGCTGGCATGACCCACATTGTCAGAGAAGTCGAGAAACCTGGATCAAGTAAATTATTCTCTCATAGTCTCATTCAATTATTTCTCAATGCATTTTGTTTTACTATATGTTGGTTACCTCCAATTGTCACATAATTGTTTCTTTATCAAAATTTCCGCACCATACATATTTTAGCATTCTCCTTGGATCACATTCCATAAATGGTCGATGGAAACAAAGACTTATTCATAGATATAGTTTCTTTTTATACTGACATTACTTAGTTAAAGTGTCCATGATTCATATCTTTTTTATTTTTTCCTGTCAAGTGCATTGCAATTTTCCTTGGTTTTTTCTACAATTTATTTCTGTATTAATTGTGGGAGCTTAAAATAAAATGACCATGAATACTGATTGCAGAACTCCACAAGAAGGAGACCTGTGAGGCTGTGACTATCATTGAGACACCACCAATGGTTATTGTTGGTGTGGTCGGTTACGTCAAGACTCCTCGTGGTCTTCGCTGCCTCAACACCGTTTGGGCCCAGCATTTGAGTGAGGAGCTGAAGAGAAGGTTCTACAAGAACTGGTGCAAGTCGAAGAAGAAGGCCTTCACCAAGTATTCCAAGAAAATGGAGACTGACGAGGGCAAGAAGGATATCCAAGCTCAGTTGGAGAAGCTGAAAAAATACTCATCTGTTATCCGAGTTCTGGCTCACACTCAGGTATCGACTCATTCTTAATTCCCTCGTGTGAGTGTGTGACTGGTGGTCTCATAATCCAGATCTAACGATTAGGGCTTACTTAGGTTAAGTGTGATAAATGGTGATAGGCTATATAATCCTTTCGTTGGTTCTTGAATAGATAATAACCTCAATTTCAACTTTTCGAAATAAAATCAAACTAACCAAACATTCATACCTGTATGGATTACTTTTCTTGAACTTATCAATCCCAATATTATTTGATTAATATGATTATTTTGCTATCATGCAGATTAGGAAGATGAAGGGTCTGAAACAAAAGAAGGCACACTTGATGGAGATTCAAGTGAATGGTGGAACAATTGCTCAGAAGGTTGACTTTGGGTACGGTTTCTTTGAGAAACAGGTACCTATTGATGCTGTCTTCCAGAAGGATGAGATGATTGACATCATTGGTGTGACCAAGGGTAAGGGTTATGAAGGTGTGGTCACACGTTGGGGTGTCACTCGTCTTCCGCGTAAAACTCACAGAGGTCTTCGTAAGGTCGCTTGTATTGGCGCGTGGCATCCTGCTCGTGTTTCCTTCACTGTTGCCAGGGCTGGACAGAACGGATACCATCACCGTACTGAAATGAACAAGAAGATCTACAGGCTTGGAAAGATCGGTAAAGAAGAGCACACTGCCAGTACCGAGTTTGACAGGTTCGATTACCGTCGTATATCACTGTTTTTTCAACTTGAGTTTATCGTCATGTTGTTTAACCTAGCTAATGTTGGATATTGTATTATTTGTCAGGACTGAGAAAGACGTAACACCAATGGGTGGCTTCCCTCACTATGGTATCGTGAAAGACGATTACCTGATGATCAAAGGTTGCTGTGTGGGACCCAAGAAGAGAGTTGTCACTCTTCGTCAAACACTACTCAACCAGACATCTCGTGTTGCACTTGAAGATATTAAGCTCAAGTTTATCGACACCTCTTCCAAGTTTGGACATGGTCGCTTCCAGACAACCGAGGAGAAGCAGAAGTTTTACGGCCGCGTCAAGGCTTAGAAGTTGCCCTTTTAGCCGAATTTGCTATATTAGCTGCTACTGTTGCTTGATTCAATTTTGCTTGAGTTTTAGACGATTAAATCTTTATTCTAAACTTGGGTACTTTTTATGGATAACAATTTCTTAATTATTGTATTGCTGGTTTTTGGATGTTTCGGTTATCTCGGTGGCTGCTGTTTTTTCTTTAGTTTTTACTTTTGATTTTCAAAGTAAATAATAATTTAAATTTATACAATAGAAACATTAATGATTTTACCGGACAACATTTGCACTTCGGTTGCAATTCTCCTCATGGAAAGGTCACTTTGTCGAAATGTTGTGCGACATCCGATTTAAGTACCCGATCGGTCCTTAAACTACTTTGTTCTCGAGTATTTTATACTCTATAGCCCGGGATCGGGGAGGTGGATAACCTTATCATCATCATTGTTCAATAGGGGAAAAGCCTTAGAGAGTTGAAGTTTTGATATTAAAATCTATTTCTGTAAGAGACTGGACAATCAAGCTACAAGGGCCATTGATCATCAATGGCCATTTTTTTATTTTTCTAAATTCCCAGTATAAGGAGGCCTCGTTAAAAAATTGTTTGACCTAACAAGGAAGAGTACCTCTATATATTTACAAGAGTCGGTTTATTTCTACGATCATTATACAGCACAACCGTAGTTTATCCACAATCAAAACTTTATTTCTATAGAAACAAAAAAAATAGCAAAATAGCGCCCGTGGCCTAATGGATAAGGCGTCTGACTTCTAATCAGGCGATTGTGGGTTCGAGTCCCACCGGGCGTGCAATTGTGTATTTTCTTATTTTAATGGCCTGGAGGGTACATTTCAAAATTAGACTCGGTTACATGTGCATCTTTTTTAGCTAAATCAACGGCTGTACTTGTAATGATCAATGTCAAATTACTTACACCGTTGATTGAAAAAACGAGAAAACTAACCCCCTGGTTCAACCGGCTGTTCAATGGGCCTACAAATTAACATCCTTAACCGGCCATTGTATCACGGTTCCCATTTCGATTCCGGATCATGGAACCATTGACCAGGTTAATCGTCCGTTAACCACGCGTCGGCCGGAGACCGTGGACATGTTTGCTTTCAATAATGAAAAATATTAGTCAATGCTTATGCGAAAAGGACATACGAGCATGTGGGGGTACCATGGTTCGCCGGAACGTTGCGATCGGTCGTCCTGGACACTGCCGTTCCAATTCCATTGCAGCGTCGCAGCCGGAACGGACAAATTATAATGAAAATGCAAAAAATTAGAGTTAATGTCAAGTAAGTTTTTAGTATTAAAAGATTTGGAATAATATACAAACTATCATTAAAACTCCAATTTTGATTTAATTTTCGAACAATTTTTAAAATCTTGAGAAGTAGAATTAAGGATGGAAATGTAAGTTATGAAATTATCTCTTTACTTTAAGAGAAAATAAAAAATAATTAGGACTAAATTGCAAATTTTGAAAACTTAAAAAACCTACTCATGTTCCCTAGACCCAAATCAAATTTCATTTAAGCTTTTGGAGCTAATTGTAATTTTTAAAACTTTTAATTAAAAGTTTAAATTCTAGTTTGAGGTCCTTCAATCGTCGTTGGAGACCTGAAGAAGTAAATTATGATGATTCATACGCGTGACAGCCGCAACTGTCCGATTTTTTGCCATGTCCTGGTGTTCCAACCGTTCTTTGCCCGTTCGGCAACATTTTTCATTGTGGAACGGTTTGGTTATGGTTTCCCGAACGGAGGGCACCGTTCCGGCGAACCTTGGGAGTACGCTTAAATATTAAAAGTATAGAGGTATGTTAATAAATTGTAATATATATATATATATATAAAATTATAGAGTGTTGCTATTTCCACCTCCAAAGTATCTCAATTCACCACCAAAGATAATAAAATGTTATAAATACCCCTCAAATTTATTACCCACCACCCTTCCTTATACTTACTATATCCTCCATGTTTTCTAAGTTATTTTTATTTTAGTTTATTTAGTTAATTAATTTTTAATTTTTAATTTTAATTTTATTTATTTTATTCTTCATAATGAAATATATATTACAAGATATTTAAACTTTCATATCAGATGTCCTACAAATTATGTAAATTATTCAATTTAGGAAACAAAATTATATTAGGCCAAACTGACCAATTGTTGAGGAAGTTCAAGACCTTCTATACAATCACTCTTAATTTATTTATCAAAAAATATGAATTCCTACTTTTTTTAACCTTCAGAAATGTTTTTCTATGACAAAAGTATTATTCACTTAAGGTGGAGAGGGTGAGATTTTGCGGTGAAGATTTCCGTGAAAATAGTGGGGTTTTTTTTATAAATTTTTTAATTAGTTTAGTGGTGGATGATTTATAAATCTGTAAAAAAATATAGGTGAAATAAGAAGGAATAGGTAAAATGAAAAATATATTTAATTTGATGGTGAAATAAGATATTTTGAGGGTGGAAATAGTATTTCTCTAATTATATATTATATATTATAAATAGTAATTTTTGTATACTTCAAAATAAAATTTACTAAAATAAAATAGTAATACTAATTATCAATTAGCAATTAATTATTATTGGCACTAATTATTATTAGTTTTTGTGACGATTGAATATTGGGCTTTAACGTAGATGGGCCCAAAATTAAGAAGCCTCGAGCATTTACTATTGGTGAAAGAAGACCATTTTACGAAAGAAACTGAAAACTATAAATACAAACAGCCCAGCAAACTAGGGTTTTTCTCTCACTGGAAAAGCCTCGAGTAGCAGCAGCAGTCAGGTACCTTCTATCTCACACACACACACACACACACACACACACACACACACACACACAACGTTTGCTTCTGCATTTTGATTCGTTAGAACACAGCGTTTTTGCTGTAGATTGTGCTATACGATACGACCATTTGATTGCAATCGTTTACATGTAATTGAAAGCCATTTTTGTTTTATATTGTTTCTGCAGCAATACATTTCATCATCCTTTCACTTTGATTTAATTGTTTTTGTACCCATGATCACTGAAATTGTTAATTGAGACCGCCAGAAATGAATTTTGTCATTTTGTATCATCTATTTGCGAAAAAGGATTAGGATCTTCGCATTTTTATTTCCCAATTTCTTTTAGTTATTGTTGATGAATTGTTATTTTGCTGCAGATTAAAGGAGGTGGAAAATGTCTCACAGGAAGTTTGAGCACCCAAGGCACGGTTCCCTCGGTTTCCTCCCGAGGAAGAGGGCTGCTCGCCACAGGGGAAAGGGTACACTCCTATTACATTTTGCTCTAAATTTGTTGAAAAATGTTGTTTTAATGAATAATCTGTGTAATTTAATAGTGCTTCTCGATATGAGTATAGAAATGTGTATGATGATTTAAGTTTGGTCTATCTTAAAAAAGGCTTATTGATTTGTTCGTCTGTTGTTTTTCGTGTTGTGCACTATCATCCATGAATTAAACAAATTTGAAGTCTATCAGTTTATCAATACATAGTTGTTAGTTGTTACTGATTCTTCCTGAGAAATTTACTTGCATATCAGTCCTAAAATCAAGAGAAAATTAGTATCTGTTTACGTTGTAAATTCAATCGATTTGAAGCCTTTTGGATTACATCGGTTTACGTGTTGATTATTTGTTGCCTTTTTCGTATTCATTTTTCAGTAGTCTGTTACTGTGCTTAAGTTTTTATATTGAATAATGCAGTGAAAGCTTTCCCCAAGGATGACCCAACCAAGCCATGCAAGCTGACCGCTTTCTTGGGTTACAAGGCTGGCATGACCCACATTGTCAGAGAAGTCGAGAAACCTGGATCAAGTAAATTATTATCTCGTTTTATTTATTAATTTCTGCGATGCCTTTTGTTTTGATCGGCATGTTAACAGCTTTTGTTATTTGTTTTCATGATCAATTCTTTATTCAATTTTCCCTTGTCAAATGCTTAGCTATGACAATTGGTTTTTCTTTCCGTATATTCTTCTAAAAGCAGATACGTGCATCTGTTATTTGCATGAGGCAATGTTCTTTTACTGTCAATATCGTAGCTTAACGTAAAATATCTATAAATCATAATTGCAGAACTCCACAAGAAGGAAACCTGTGAGGCTGTTACCATCATTGAAACACCACCAATGGTTATTGTTGGTGTGGTCGGTTACGTCAAGACTCCTCGTGGTCTTCGCTGCCTGAACACCGTTTGGGCTCAGCATCTGAGCGAGGAGCTAAAGAGAAGGTTCTACAAGAACTGGTGCAAGTCCAAGAAGAAGGCTTTCACCAAGTATTCCAAGAAAATGGAGACTGATGAGGGCAAGAAGGATATCCAGGCTCAGTTGGAGAAGCTGAAGAAGTACTCGTCTGTTATCAGAGTTTTGGCTCACACTCAGGTATCAGTTAATTCTTACAATCCTACTTACCTCCGTATATAATTTTCCACAAACAATCAAATTAATCAAATATGCATACTTTAATTGGTTAACTTTCTTGAACACTACAAGTACACGATTGGTCAGCAATTAAGATAATCCAACCCTACAAACCGAACACACCCTTATGTTTAATGTTTATTAATAAGAACATTTTTGTATCATGCAGATTAGGAAGATGAAGGGTCTGAAACAAAAGAAAGCACACTTGATGGAGATTCAAGTGAATGGTGGAACAATTGCTCAGAAGGTTGACTTTGGGTACGGTTTCTTTGAGAAACAGGTCCCTATTGATGCTGTCTTCCAGAAGGATGAGATGATTGACATCATCGGTGTGACCAAGGGTAAAGGTTATGAAGGTGTGGTCACACGTTGGGGTGTCACTCGTCTTCCTCGTAAAACTCACAGAGGTCTTCGTAAGGTCGCTTGTATTGGTGCATGGCACCCTGCTCGTGTTTCCTTCACTGTTGCCAGGGCTGGACAGAACGGATACCATCACCGTACTGAAATGAACAAGAAGATCTACAGGCTTGGGAAGATCGGTAAAGAGGAGCACACTGCCAGTACCGAGTTTGACAGGTTCGATTATTGTACTATAGCACTTTTTTTTTCTTCCCACTTTAATGCATAAAGATGTTTTTATTGTTTTGGACCTATAGCTAATGTTAGATATTGTATGATTTATCAGGACTGAGAAAGACGTAACACCAATGGGTGGATTCCCGCACTATGGTATAGTGAAAGATGATTACCTGATGATCAAAGGTTGCTGTGTGGGACCCAAGAAGAGAGTTGTCACTCTTCGTCAAACACTTCTCAACCAGACATCTCGTGTTGCACTTGAAGATATCAAGCTCAAGTTTATCGACACCTCTTCCAAGTTTGGACATGGTCGCTTCCAGACAACCGAGGAGAAGCAGAAGTTTTACGGCCGTGTCAAGGCTTAAGAGGAATTTGGTATATTTAGCTTTCGTTTCTTGGATCATTTTTGCTTGAGTTTTTTTAGACAGCTAAATCTTATTCTGAACTTGTTTCTTTTTATGGTTAAAACAGTTTTTATAAGTGTTGTATTGCTGGATTTTGGAAGTTTCTTGTTATTTAAGATTGTTTTCATTGGCAGCCACTTTCTTTTATGAATTTTGTCTTGGGTTTTATCTTCAGTAATAATTTTATTTTGTTCTTCACTGTTCTTTTTCATGTTGTGGTTTTGTTCTCATCTCTTTTAATATAAATCATTGATCTCCATCTAAATGTAATATAAATAAAATTCAAAGGTTAATTTCTGCATTATGTATTAACAAATAGTAGAAATCCAATATTTTATATTATAATCTATTGTATTGATAGATCTAAGGGGTCGCATTCCACATTAGATATTGATTTTAAATTGATTAAGATCAGAACCCCAAATAATGTTTTTTTATATTATCTTTATAATTATTCCTCGGACTTGTCACCAGGTAAGTAGTGTAGTTAAGTAAAGTGGGAATCACAATTCAACTATCACCAAGTAATATTAAAAGTGAATGGGTGTGGAAATAGCAAAATCAAGAATCAAAGCTTTACAACAAAATTTTGCAAATTATGCAAGAAGAAAAAGAAAAAACTCAACTTCTCTACTAAGCTTTTAGGACATTGGGTTATTGCTATTCTAACAGCTCAACAACCCCACATGTGCCCTTTTTTTGCCCTGACAGTGGGAATTCACTTTGTAAATCCCCTCCAATATTTCTCTACTAATTTTCTTCCTTCTTTTTCAAGATAGAGAAAAAGTGAAAAGTGGAAAAAAGAGTGGGGTAATAAGTGTGTTTGTTTGACGAAAAAATGACAATAATCGTAGGCTTTACGGTTTTACCAAGTGGTCGTCATACGGTGAGGCCATCGAATCCACACTGCTTGTATATTAAGGATTGCTTTCTTGGACTGATGGCTAGTGTACAATCCACCGATACCTGCCCGTAGTTAATCAAACAAACAAGAATCAAACACTCGATCGTCTTCTCTAAAATCATCATCATCACCACAACCTTACATAGTTTCCAAGAATGTGGTGTAATGTAATATCAAGAAACTTTTTGAGACATAACCATTAATTTTAAACCTAAGTGGGGGCTAACTTGAGAGATATATGCTGCAAAAAGATTAAAAACAGACGACAAATAAAAGCAAATATTGGGACACTTTATCCGGTCCTCTATCTTTACTACTCATTGGCCACGTTCCAACGTAAAACTAAAGCAACAAAACCGAAGACGCTACTATTTCTAACTTTTACACCGAATCCTCAATTCTACATTTCTCCTACTATATCTTCGACAAATTTCATCGAATAAAATAAATATTACAGATGAAGAGGCAATGTTCATATTCTAACCGGAAAAAGTAGAAAAAAAAGAATCAAGATTGGGTCCACTTTCGAAATCATTTCCCACCTCTAAACCGGGATTCAAAATTTGGACGAATAATTGGAATTTTTTTATCAAGACTTTAGGACATACAATGCAGAATGTCGTCTCTCAAAATACAAACAAACATTGCTTTGTCTCGAGTATTTTTTTCCCCGAAACAAAATGAAAATAGGAAGAGGTGGCGAAAAATAGCCGAATGATAAAATTCATGTATCATATTGGCGATTTCGACAAGTAAGATTCAAAAACTGCAAAAATTAAGTTGGTTAAAGAAAGTTTTAATGGGCATTATAAAAACATCAACCTTCCTAAATTGGCCTTGAAGTTCAAAGTAGAAGTGGACATTAGGTATCCAGATTTTCTGACCCTGACCCGGAAACCCGAAAGGTGACAGTGTACTGTTTGTTTTTGTACAGCAGACTGGGGCCATTTTCCTTTTAAGTTCAAAATCATTTCCCAATTTTATTTACCAAATTAATTAATTAAATAAATAAATAACACAAGCACATCCCGGCGCACGTTAGAGAAATTGCAAGACAGTGCGCATGTTAGCAGAACCCGGAGGTGTAAAATGGCGACAACACAAAACTCAAAATTCGCGAAAAAACAGAAACCCAACTTCCGAGAAATCGGAAACCCAGAAAAATGCAATTTGTTCTATGCAGAAGAAATCAAAGCAAAACGAAGAAGAAAGAGAGAGAGAGAGAGAGAGAGAGAGAGATAACCTCGACACCAGGTGAGGTGAAACCCATGACCCGTATCTTCGCCCCGACATCGCCGACGACCCGGAGTTCGACCCGGTCGTTCAAGGAGGCATCTCTGACCAAATCGGCGGCATCCGCCTGAAGCAAGCTGACGCGGTCGACGGCGATGGCGATCTCGATCCGTTTCACGGTGTGGGCCGCCTGATCGAACGCCGGAACCGTACCCTTCCCGAGGGGTATGCCGCGGTACATGATAGTGAACCTGGACTCCCTGTACTTGATCCCTACCTTGTTGTCGTTGGCGGCGGTGAACACCATCCGGATGCCGAGGGACACGGTGGCGGAGGAGGCCGTGGTGGGGCTGATGCCCATGTACTGCACGCCCACCTGCTGGAGGTTGAATTCCGGCTTTTTCGGTTTCACGGCGAGGACGACGACGAGGATTACGGCGACGACGAGGAGTGCGAGGAAGGAGAAGAGGAGGAAGAGACAGCAGCAGCAGCCGCGGAAGGAGGCGGCGGACGAAGAGTATGACGAGGCCGGAGGGTAGTAGTGGTGGTGGGTGCCGTTGGCGGCGGCGGCGCCGCCGCCGGAAGATGGGGTTGTTGTGGAGGCGGCGGTGGCGGTGATGGGTCTGGAGGTCATTTTTTTTTTGTTTAATCAGATGGAATAAAAAAAAATTGGGAAATAGTGAAAGGGAGGTAGGTAGGCCCACCACCACCACGGCGGAAGTGGCCACCACTTTTGTATATGCTACTTTAACTTTCACACGACAATGTTCTCTCTCGCTCTGTGTGTGTGTTGCTTGCTTTTCAAGAGAGAGAGAGAGAAGAGAGAGAAGCATGTGACAGAGATTCGGAGTTGCTGTGTGAATTATTACCTTTTTTATTACTAGTTATGTATTTAGGTAAACTTGATTATTAATCCTAGATATATATATATATATATCTATATAGCTATATATATAGATATATCTCCATATATATATATATATATATATATATATATATATATATAACTTGTATCAATTTATTTATCTATCTATTTAATATATACATGAAACAAAACAAATCAATTCTATTAGAATCGGATCGGAACTGTTCGACTGTGACCTGAAAGGTCGATGAGGCAGTCCGGTCTCATCACTAGAACCGGAAAAATTGAAAATTGGATCAAATGATCAAAATCCGATTCAACAGGGTACAACTCGAGAACCTGTAAATCAGTTAAAGAACCCGATTTTCGGCTAAAACATCTTACATTCATTGTGGGTGGCCGAAGAATTGCTAGATATGGTCATGTAAAAATTCGATCGAACCGATTCGACCCTATAGAACCATGACCCAAATGGTCGTCCAGTCCCGACAACATTGAAACAAACATACTTCTTCTTGTACGGTTGTATGAGTCAAGATTAATTTGAATTTGATTAAACTATACTTACTCGCTACCAAGTACTAACTAATTAAATCTTTAGTTGCTAATATATTTGGCTACTTTGAAGATTTAATCTTTTTATAGGCTTGAATTGATAGACTTTCATATTTGATATCAAGCCAAAATAATATATAGACAAAGATGGCAAAAAGTATTATTATATTTGCAAATATAAGCACTATACTATATATCAATGTAACAGCAATACTTGCAACTTTATTCTATAATCCTCAAAAAAAAAAAAAAACACAAAAATATAAAAAAAAAACCTTCAAATTAGCCAAAAAAAAAAAAAAAAACAAACCCCATCATCTACAATTCATCATTCATCTCGTCTTCGTCTTCAAAATCACCTCCACTCGTATTCTTATAAGCCTTCTCGATAACAGGATTACACACGCTTTCCAACTCTTTCATCTTCTCATCCAAATCCTCCTTTTCCGCGCTTTGATTTTCGTCCATCCATTCCGAAGCTTCGTTCAAAGCCCTCTCGATTTCTTCTTTATCACCACCCTCGATTTTATCGGCCAACTTGTCGTTTATCGTGCTCTTCATGTTGAAGATATAGTTCTCGAGTTTGTTTCGAGCCTCGATTCTCTCTCTAACTCTTTTGTCCTCCCCCGCAAACTCCTCCGCTTCTCTAATCTTTTCTTCAATCTCTTCTTCGGTTAATCGCCCCTTCACGTCTTTGATTGTGATTGATTCGAATTTTTTGGCCGCTTTGTCTTCGGCTTTTACGTGGAGTATTCCGTCTACATCTACCTCGAATGTCACTTCTATTTGTGGCACTCCTCTATAATAAAATAAAAAATAAAATAAATGAGGATTTTTTTGCTTTAGTATTTTTTGTTCATATAAATATTTTTAATACTTAATTATAATTTTTTTTTTTAAATCTTACCTTGGAGCAGGGGCAATGCCGGACATTTCGAAGCTACCGAGTTCATGGCAATCTTTTGTCATCGCCCTTTCTCCTTCGTAAACCTGAAAAATAGGATTTTTTTTTGGTTAACAATATGAATAAAATTTTCATATTTATTACAAGTATTGATTTTTTTTTATTTTTAAATTTTTTTTATTGTTGTTACCTTGATTGAGACAGTAGTTTGTTTGTCTTGATAAGTGGTGAAAACCTGGGATTTCTTAGCAGGTATGACTGTGTTTCTTGGTATCAATTTTGTCATCACTCCACCAACTGTCTCTATCCCAAGACTCAATGGAGTCCTATCAATCAAAAGAACATCTGCAAAACAAAATAAAAAAAAATAATAATAAATATATAAATATTAATTCAAATAAGTTTCCTTCAAAACAACATTAAATATGTAACCATTACTAAAATGTTTGTCAAGTATATTAGAGGGAAAACAAAAAACTTATAAAGTGACCAAAACGCCCCTAGTTAATTGTCTCACTATTCATTCATTCTATTTCTCCACTAATTAAAAATAGTAAGGGAAAAATTGAAAAATACTTTGAAACAAAATAAAGTTTTCAAAAGTCAGATAATTTGACACAAAAATACTAATAAATATGTGTCGGTTTTAGGCGGGAAAAAAATAACTTATGCCTTATAAGTAATTATTATTCTTTTTTTTTTGAAAATTATATTTTTTATCCCTTAAGTTTACACTGATTTTATATTTGATCCCCAATGTTCACAAAAAACACATTAGATCCCTCATGTTTCAATAATTTAATTCTATTATTCCCATTTTTTATTTATTAATAAGGGTAAATTCGGAAAATAATAACTTCAAAAATGAATTTTAAAAAAAAGGGAGGGAAAAATTACGTACTTTTCGTCTCTTCTCCGCCCTCGCCGCTGAGCAAACCGCCTTGAACGGCGGCGCCATGCGCGACCGCCTCATCGGGATTCACCCCCCGGCTCGGCTCTTTCCCGTCGAAAAACTCCTTCAAAAGCTCCTGAACTTTCGGAATCCTCGTGCTCCCACCGACAAGCACGATTTCGTGAATCTCGCTCTTCGACAAACCCGAGTCTTCCAAAGCCCTCTTCACGGGCACCATCGTCTTCTTAAAAAGATCCAGATTCAAATCCTCGAACCTAGCCCTAGTCAACGCCTCCGAGAAGTCAACGCCGTTGACCAGCGACTCGATCTCGAGGCGGACTTGGTGCTGGTTGCTGAGGGCCCTCTTCGCCCGCTCGCACTCCCGGCGGAGCTTGCCTAGGGCTTTTTTGTCGCCGGAGATGTCGGTTTTGTACTTTTTCTCGATCAACTTGACGAAGTGGTTCATGAGGCGGTGGTCGAAATCCTCGCCGCCGAGGTGGGTGTCGCCGCTGGTGGAGAGGACCTCGAAGACGCCGTTGTCGATGGTGAGGATGCTGACGTCGAATGTGCCGCCGCCGAGGTCGAAGACGAGGACGTTACGCTCGTCGCCGGACTTGTCGAGGCCGTAGGCGATGGCGGCGGTGGTCGGCTCATTGATTATGCGCTCCACCTGGAGGCCGGCGATTGTGCCGGCGTCCTTTGTTGCTTGTCTCTGTGCGTCGTTGAAATAAGCTGTCCGCAATTTAAAATTAAACAATTAAATAAAAAATTAAATAAAAGAACAATCTATTAAAATGTTTCTAATTGAATCAACAATATATCAAATAAAAATTACATTAATTTTATTGAAAAAAAATATTAATTTAGGGGAATATAATATTTATTATAGTCGAAGACACTAAAAATTGCTTAATCGGCGTCATCGTACTTAATGAATGAATATCGAATATCTCTTAATTAATTATCTTGAAAAAAAACGTTGGAAGAATCGAATAAAGATTAACGAATGAGTGTTTAAGTTGATAAAATCGACGACGCTAGTCAGAAAACTAATAAATGTGTATGATTACTACGAAACCCTAATTATCACGATTGTAAAATACCCTTTCTCGTTCGATAAAATCGATGATGTTAGTCAGAAAACTAATAAATGTGTATGAATACTACGAAACCCTAATCACATTTTTAAAATACTCTCCTTATCGTTCGTCTTATCACCACTAGTTCTCTCTCAATAAATTTAAAAAAATAAGTATAATAATGGGATAATTGAGAAAAAAGATATAATAAATGCTTCAAAGAATATTCTAAGTGATAAACAATTTTTTTTCTTCTCCAAATCGACATATAATATGGGAATTTTTACTCAATTACAAGAAAACAACACCAAAAAATTCATAAGTTCTTTTTTTTTTTTTTGAGAATAAAAATAAAAAATAAAAAATAATAACAATTAAGTACCTGGAACAGTTATAACAGCACGGTTAACTTTGTTGCCCAAGTAAGCCTCGGCAGTTTGTTTCATCTTTGTAAGAATCATAGCACTAATTTCCTCAGGTGAAAAAACCCTAATTTCACCTTCTTTGTTTATCTTCACTTCTATATAAGCCTTTCCATCTTTATCTACCACTTTATACGGCAGCATCTTCATATCTCTCTGCACCTCCACGTCATCAAACCTAAAAAAAACGAACATTATTATATTCAAATAAAATAAAATCATATATGTAGGAAAATCTCATTAAATTGAATAAATAGCTACTTACTTGCGTCCGATGAGCCTTTTGACGTCGAAGATGGTGCGTTCTGGATTAAGGGAAGCTTGATTCTTGGCTGCTTCTCCGATGAGACGCTCGGTGTCGGTGAAAGCTACCCACGAAGGTGTGATTCGGTTACCTTGGTCGTTGGCTATGATCTCGAGTTTGCCTTGTCGGTATACTCCCACGCATGAATACGTTGTACCTAGGTCGATTCCGATTATCGTCTCTTGGGATTTAGTTTCTGATGCACCCACAAGAAATCCTGCACATCCCACGATTTTTATTTTTGTTACAAACAATTCAATAAATTAAATTAAATTTTTATATAATATTAAACAAGGAAATAAACATGTTGTGTTGCAACTTTGCGAGTTATATCTTGATGTGTATTTTACGTACATCAACATGCAACCCTAGCTCCATGGTAAACACTAAACACGCACACAAAAACCATAATTGAGAGAGAGAGAGAGAGAGAGAGGAATAACCTGAAGCAAAGAGGAAGAGAATGCAGAAGGCGATATGTTTGAAAGCCATGATTGGTTGATTGTTTGCTTATGATTGATTGATATAATTTTGGGTGGAGGGAGGGGTTTATATAGGCGGCTGTGCGGTGGTAAAGTTGGAGGAGGATTGGGATTTATTACGGAACTCCACGTCTTATGTGTTGACACGTGGCAGAGATGATATTCTAAAACTGCTTTATTATTAAGAGGAGACCCGTCTAACTTGAAACTTTGTTAATTACAAGTTAATAACTATTTTGATGCCAAATTAGTGGGGAAAAGATAATAATTTATAAGATATTGATATAGGTGACACACAAAAGTGGAGTAGCCTAAGCTAATAGAAAATGTCTCGCATGTTAAAATTAAATTCTATGATACAATTAATTCGTGCACCATGAGTATTGCTGTCTGATTCTTTCAAATCAGGATATTCATATTTACGTATTTCATCGAACAGTTCAGTTAGAAAACTTAGACTAAAAATAATTATTGTACACTGAATATATCTTATTATCATCCAACTTATCCATCCTCATTACGATATTCACTTGAAAAAAATGGCGTTTATTCCACTATTCCGTTTTTCCCTATTAGTTCCATGTCGCCGACCGCCAAATTTCCATCACAACATCATACTAAAAAAAAGTTATTTTCTTTTAAGATGTCTATTTACAGTTAAAATTCTTCAACTAAACCGTCTATTTTCAGTCTAAACTCTATAACTAAGTTGTCTATTTTCACTATAAACCAAGGTTGTAAAAAGCGGTAATGGAGTCGGAGGCGGTCAGGGACCGACTCACGATTAATCGGTGCGGCGGTGATTAATCGGTGATAAATGGAAAATAAATCGGTTTTTAAAATTTAATATAATATATTTGTAGATAATATTTATAAATACTCAAAACATAGATAAAAAAATATTTAAACATAGTTATATCTCCATCGTGTATATATTCTAATAATATAATAAAAGTTTAATAATAATGAGATCATAATACATAAATATCTTATAAAATATAAATAAAAAGGCAATTTTTTTGAATTTACATACATTCTTGGCATACATCAGTAGTTCTTTACTTCTTTAACAATAATAATTAACATAAACAAAATAAAGCATAAACTCGTATTTTTTTAATTAAAATCCCAACTTTTATTTTGATTTATAAATAATAATAATAATAATAAAAAAAAACAAAAAAAAAAACAAATTTTCAAACCTTTACACTAAAATCGTAAAGGGTTTGGACCGCCTCCGCCTCGGCGACCAATTAATCAGCCACCTCGACCGATTTTTAGAACACTGGTATAAACTGCCTCGAGGGACTTTTAGCAAATTCAAAATTGTTAGCATAAAAAATATTTTTGAATTTTGAGAAAGTTTTAACCAATTTTTCTATTAATTACAGTTAAACCTCTATAAATTAATACAGTTGGGACCATCAAAATCCCATTAATTTAGCGAAATATTAACTTATCGATAAATTAATAATTATTAATTTATACATTAATTAATAATTTATTAATTTATGGAATTATTTTATTATTATTTTCAATAAACACTTTTATTTTTTATTTTTTTACGTGTATATTGTTCATTGAACCATTAGTTCAATGCACTATATAGCCCTTTTCACGAACTAAAGCTCTTAAAACAGAAATGATATTGAACAATTTTATTTTGTTAAGAGAAGTGAGGGACGAGATTGATGGTAATGTTAAATTCATCAAGAAACAAGTGACAATTAAATTATATTTTATTAAGCCTTCATAGATCTATAAATATGTATTGTACCATGTAATTTAAGAATTATTTTTATGCATTATTAATTTATATATTATATGGGGTTTCTTAAAATTTTCCAATGTGTATTATCTTATAAATTTAGCGAATTATTAATTTAGCACGTTGTCCCCGAGTCGGGACCGGAAAAATTTATTATTTAAGCGAGGTTATTAATTTATCGAGATTCTACTGTATATGACTATCTATCTTTGTTTAAATTAATTGTTTATAACAAATTACAACGCGTGCCATGATTTTGAATTTGTAACATTGTTGTAGTTTGGGATGGCAAAAGATAAGTAAAGTTCGTCTGTCATCAACACACAAAATAATCGCAAACTCATATCCTTAATTCCTAATATGTATGAACTCATAAAATATTTGAAACAAATTTAGCCATGCATGTTCAAATACATCTCTAAGAACCGAAAACGCCCGTCGATAAATCAATGTCACCCAAAAACAAAAAATTTGCAACGCGGAAAATAAATCTAAAAACACAATACATATGATCTTCCGTTCCTACAAAAGAATTCACAAATAAAACAACACAAAAACTCAGAAAAGAAAAAGGAAAACCAAACAATTTGAAAACTTACCAAACACTCGTTTCTTCTCGCATCGAGTATTATGCATCGAGTATTATATATCTAGTCATCCTTCTTGTCCTGAACTGGACTCGCACCATTACCTGCTTCTACTTTCACCGTTTCATTAACACCACCACCGAGTACATCGTCCATCAAATCATCCTCTGCAACATTCATGTCGTCCACGTCATCATCCTCGTCATCTTCATTGTTGTCCTGCCCAGGTATTTTTCTCGTTTTCGGACCATGCTCAAGCTGATGCGTCTCCAGTTCTTTGTCCATTGTCTCCTGTAAGTTCGCCACTACATTATTTGTTCTCCTACCTTTCCTTCCGTTTTGCCACCTTTCTTGCTCTTTGTCCACATTCGCTACGTATTGCTCCGCAATCTGCTTCTGGTATTGCGATAGTTCCTCTCTCCTAACAGCCTTCCATTCTTGGAACTCCTATTATTTAGAAATATATAAAACAAGAAATTCTCGATTTAATAAAATAATAACAAATCATCAGCTGTGTTTTTAGAACCAAAAGCAATAGCTGTGCAACGTATGAGAGAGAAAGTCACCTGTTCTTTCTGCCGCTCGGTTATAGTTGGTTCTTGATCCAGAGGTTTGGCGAACATGTAGAAAATCGGAGGTTCTGCCTTGGTCCTGGAAGAATGCAAGATCAAAAAGAAATAGAAGTGGAATGTCACAAACATATTCAATGGAAATTTACGAGATAAACCAAAAATCATAGGAGGAAACTGTAGTTCGTTAAGCTGCATCAACACTCTGCACGTGAATGGACACTTATCTTGTATGTCAATAAAATTGTGAATATGGACACTTTTTGGACCAAAATTAGAAATAACCTGCACGAGGATGATGGTGAAAATTGTCAGAGTTTAATAATTACTCGAGTGCATTCACCAGCATAGATTATAGTACAAAATAATATGTATACCTTGTGAAATTTCCAAGTTTTTTGTGGTGCTCACTCCACCGAAGAAACAGCAATTCCAATTTCTTTTCCTCTGCCTTTGCAGCAATACGTGCTCTGAGAGTCTACATTGAAAGATGCAACAGATAAATTAAAAGATTTTAGAGGTTTGATTGGCATGCTCGTATAGACGTGCTAGAGAAACAACAAACCAAATCTCTCTTCCGCTTTTCTGCCATCTGTTCACGTTCTTGCTGCCTCAGCTTTTCACTTTCTTCGCGTGCTCGTTCCTCAGCCTAAATAAACATATGAAGTTCCACGTTAAATGTGTACGCAAGAAAATCCTTGTATTTTGCTCATAAATATTTCCGCTACTTTCCAGTTACATGCAAGTATGTGCATATTATTTTTGCGATGTATGCAATTGCCAGCAAGAAAGTGGAGGAAAATAACGGTCTTCAATTTAATAAAGTGGAGGAAAACAACGATGTGGAAGGGTAAATGGCTTTTTCACATAAATATTTTAAGTTATGCGACATCATTTAGTATAATGTAAACATCACCTTGGAATGGAAAATTTTAGCAACTCAATTGGAAAAAAGAAAAAGAATATATATATATATATATATATATATATATATATATATATATATATATATATATATATATATATATATATATATATATATATATATATATATATATATATATATATATATATATATATATATATATATATATATATATATATATATATATATATATATATATATATATATATATATTTTTTTTTTTTTTTTTTTTTTTTTTTTTTTTTTTTTTATATATATATATATATATAAATATAATTAAATGAGATTTATATAAATATATATAGTGTGTATATATTTGAAAAAATAATATTTTTTTTTTTTTTATATATATTTTTATGTGAATATATATATATATATATATATATATATATATATGTGTGTATATATGTATATATATATATATATGTGTGTGTGTGTGTGTGTGTGTGTGTGTGT